GTATCACTCCAGCAGGGGCCTGGGCTCAGGTGCAGGGAGCAGGTGGCCTGAGGCGGGGCTGTGCCTGGGTGGCCTGGGGGACGGGGGGGGGCAGGGGCAAGGGCTGGAGTCCGGGGTGGAGCGGGGATTGGGACAGTAGCTCTTGGGGATTCAGAGGAGCCTGCAGGGAGGCCCTGTGTGCTCCCAGCTCAGCACCCAGCAGAGGGGGTTACTCACTGCTGACTCAGACCCAGGTGCTCATTTGCATGTTATTCATTTCAAGCCCAAATGAGCAGGAATACCAGGAGCATCTCACCCCCTTTCCAAACAGAACCACCCCAGATCTTCTGAGTGCGCCTGCTGCTGGGCTGAGTCTCTCTGACTTAGACATATTTCCTTTTTAAAGGGCTCTATTCAGTCATGCCCACATGGCTGTCTGTGAAATTGAGCTGAGAAGGAAAAAAAAAACCACACACACTCAGGAAGTTCATTTCCGCTCTAAAAATATGGAGATAAATTTTAATTTCAGGTTAAGTGCTCCGAGCAACAGCCTTTCCCCCCTGTCAAATATTATATTTCTGTCTATCACCTATCTTGTCCCGCCAGAACATAAGCCCCACGAGGACAGGAACACTCTTGGTAAGCCTGTGCCTAGAACGGAGCCTGACACACGACCGCTGTTTAAGAAACACATGAAATGATGACGACTCCGTTTGCAAGAACCTTCCCTGATGCTTCCAGGCCTCTCAGCACCTCACCGCTCAGGAAAGGGAGATCGTGAGAGGTGGAACATTTCCCCGGGTTAATCAGATCGCAGGGAAGGGGGAAACCTCCTGCCGTTTCAAGCTGGGCTTCCCACACGGTCGTGCAGTCGTTTGGAAACAACTTCAGAGTTTATTAGGTGATTCCTCCCGTGAAACTGATCCCTGCTAATCCAACCCTGCCGAGGACATCCCTGACAAGAAGAGACAAATGTACTGATTTCCACTCAAACATAAACAGCTTCCAAGGAGCTGAAATGCTCTGGCCAGCTGGCCAGCCCAGTCCCTCTCCAGGAGGACAGGGCCACTCAGAAAACCAAATGTCCCCCAGGGTGGCCAGAAGCCTGCACAGCCGAGTACGCTCCAGGAGCCCACGCACCAGCTCCGCGAACTGGACACACAGAAGACCTGTTGCTGGTGGCCTGTCGGGGTCCCTGCGGCCCACTCCCCAGCTCTCCGGGAGAGCCAGCCACCGGCCTGCAGCCTCCTTCCATCCTTCCAGCTCTTCCTTTTAGGAAAAAGACTTGAGCGGCTGAATGGGGCTCCTTCATTCCAACTCCGCACACAGTGTTCCTCCGGTCTCTCTGGTAATTGTGTCTTGTTGACAAGGGGAGACCCGACACCCAGCGGGAAGTCACCTTGCAACGACTCTGACCACACCGTCTGGGGAAGGCCACCGCTCGGGGAATCCGGCCTGTGTCTGTGCTGCTGCTGGCTTGAGCCGCTGTGTAGGGGGGGTGTACCTGTCCCGCCCGAGACCTCAATTTTGGCTGTCTGTGTTATACTTCTGTTGCCCACAGCTAGAGGGTTTGGGCTTCAAACCACGGGGGAAGTCTGATGAGTGAATAGTTGTCAAAGTCACTTTGGGGAGGGAACACCCCTGGGGTTCAGTCAGTTAGCGTCCTTGATTGTAAATGGATGGCCCAAGAATCAGAGAAGAATCCAGGTGTCCATGAGTTTCTTTGCTAACTGGGGTCCCTTAACTGTTCTTACAGATCGAGGCATGACTTTGCTTTTTTCTACTACTCAGTAGCTTATTTTTAAGCAGAACGGGGAAAAAAAAAAAAAGAAAGAAAGAAATCCAATTCCCAATGCCTGGGCCAGAGCCAAACAACCACTAACAAAACAGCTGTTAATGTGGCCGACACTCATTCCCGTTAGCTGTTTTAGTTAAGCTCAAGGACTGGCAGGAGAGAAATTCTGGCCGGCTCTGCAAGGAAAACCGTAGCAGAGGTAGTCACCGAGGGCAGCAGCAGATGCCACAGAGCACAGAGCAGAAGCTACCAGGGGCCTCGCCGTCTCAAAACTAAGCAAAAAAGCTGATAAATACTCAGCCGCGCCAACTGCCTGTATTACACCAAAAGCAGCTCAGGAAGCCAGAGGGGTGTAGAAGTTTCTTTAATTAGCAGTTTTCCATTCTCTTAAGCCACAGATCCGTCAGCCCAGGTTACTGCTCTCCGCACAGCGTGCCAATGAGGCGAATGTGTAAATGCACGGTCGGCAGCCACCGTGTAGACTTCTGGGTCCTAGGAGTCCAAGTGACTCCCATGGCTCACGCAGCTGGGAGCTAGTGAGTAGCTGCGAGCCAACTGCTCAATCCCTTTGATTACAACACGGAATAGTGGCTCCCCGGATAGGCTCTCAGGTCACGCGAGCGTGGGGCCAAAGAGATGGTTAGTTGTCATAGCCACTCTGAACCTGTTTCTCCATCTGTTAAGCAGGGGGTAATGACGCTTAACTCACTGGGTGTTGGAAAAATGACATGTGATATTATATGCAAAGCCTTCGGCACATAGCATCATAGTACACGGTAAATGCTCAAAGAACATGAGCTGTGAGCAGTCCTCCCGGCCCGTGAAAGCCCAAAGAGCTGCTGTTTGCTCTCGCCATGTTGTCCTGTAAATTTCTCCATCTCATAGCCGAAAAGTGACTTTGTGGGGTGCTTGGGTGGCTCAGTCGGTTAAGTGTCCAACTCTTGGATTCAACTCGGGTCACGATCTCAGCAGGGGGAGTAGAATGGAGCCCCGCATCGGGCTTAAGATTCTCTCTTTCCCTCTCCCTTTGCTCCCCCCTCTCTCAAATAAATAAAATCTTTAAAAAGAAAAGTAACTTTGCAAAAAAAAAAGAAAAAGGGGCGCCTGGGTGGCTCAGTGGGTTAAAGTCTCTGCTTTCGGCTCAGGTCATGATCCCAGGGTCCTGGGATCGAGCCCTGCATCAGGCTCTCTGCTCATGACGGAGCCTGCTTCCTCCTCTCTCTGCCTGCCTCTGCCTACTTGTGATTTCTGCCAAATAAATAAAATCTTAAAAAAAAAAATTAAAAAAAGAAAAAGAAAAGTAAGTTTGCAAGTAGGACTTCCGGAAAAGAAAAGCTTTTATGAAAGGTTATTAGGCTTTATGTAACTTCGTCAAGTTGTGACTCTGCGCACCGCCAGGCATCCCAGATTTGGGGTTGGGAGTCTACACGTTACTCAACCTTAGAAAGCACTGCTTTATTCCATAGCATTATTTTCATTATTAGCTAGAATCCACTAATTAAACTTTCAATCTCCTTTTTAAGGCAATACAGACTCGGTAAGGTGTTTTCCTGAAAGCAACATTTAGGAATATGCTGGTCTGGACACGCATTAATGCAATCACTCCCATGCCCCGTCTTTCCATCTTCAGACATCAAATAGCAACAGCTGTGCGAAAGAGCAGTGAACCCTGTAAGGTTTCCTAAGATTCAAGTGTGCTCTGTTTTCTAGGGCAGGGGATGTGCTGAGCTGTTCCGGTTTTTCCATCATGTAAGCATTCTGTTTTGTTTGTAGAGGGTGGGTACTGGATGACCAGGAGAAAACGGCTCCAGAGGTGGAGCCAACGGGAAGCAGAGAACTAACGAGGCAGGATCCGAAGCAAAAGCAACGAGAATCCTGACTCCCTTTCGCTAACGATGGTCTTGGGGAAAGCTCACATGCCTGAGCTTGTTTCATCCAGGTAATGGGGATGATGGTTCTCACATCATAGGACTGGTCCAGATGAGCGCACCGCACCAACGAGAAACCCCACTAGGCAGACTGCTTCAGCCGAAGGGGTCTGCTCGCCCCTCCCCCACCCGCTGTGCACACAGCTGTCCGAGCAGAGCCCTCTTCCTTACTCCAGTACGCGAAGGCTTCTGCCTTGTCCTCAGCATCCTTCCATGCTCCCCGTTTCCACGACACTGGGACAGATTTCCTACCATTCCGGGCACTGTGAGGAAACCATCCTTCCTTCCACGTGGGGATTAAGGAATGGGCCGTACATCCCACACCAACAACTTTCAATGAAACAGACTTGAAGTTAGTTTAAAAATTGATCACAGGGTGGTGGGGCTATTGTGGAGGGGGGAGGGATGAGCAGGTGGCACACAGAAGAATTTAAGGACAGTGAAACTGTTGTGGGTGATACTAATGGCCTGGCGGACACATGCTGTTATATGTTTGTCCGATCCCATGGAATGTACAAGAGCGAACCCTTGTACAAACCGTGAACTCTGGGTGACAATGATGCATCAGTGCAGGCTACAGGCCATTATTTAACAAATGTACCCTTGGCGGGGTAGGGGGCACTGATAGTAGGGGGGCTATGCAGGTGTAAGGACAGGGGATAATGGGGAATCTCTGTACCTTCTATATCTTTTTTTTTTTTTCAAGATTATTTATTTGTCAGAGAGAGAGAGAGCACAAGCAGAGGGACAGGCAGGCAGAGGCGGAAGCAGGGTGCCCACAGAGCAAAGAGCCCAATGTGGGACTTAATCCCAGGACCCTGGGATTATGACCTGAGCTGAAGGCAGATGCCTAACTGACTGAGCCACCCAGGTGTCCCACCTTCTATATCTTCTTTAAAAAAAAAAAAATGTATTTACTTATTTCAGAGGAGGGGGAAGGGACAGAGGGAGAGAGAGAATCTCGAGCAGACTCCCCACTGAGCACAGAGCCCAATGCAGGACTCGATCTCACAACCCTGAGATCATGACCTGAGCAGAAAATCAAGGGTGGGAAACTTAACCAACTGGGCCACCCAGGTGCCCTGGAAATCTCTGTACCTTCTGATCAAGCTTGCTGTGAACCTAAAACTCTTGTAAAAAATAAAATCCATTAAAAGATTTATTACACACGTGCCCACATGCACACACTTGTTACTGAGATGCACCGTGACAAATACAGAAATTTAAGAAATTCAACTCTTTATTGAACATCAAAGCTAACATCAAATGTTTATTTAAAAAAATAATGGCACCTGCTTTGAAGAGGGTGATGATCTACACGGGATTTACAACTGTAGGCTGACGTGGGACTACACAGTATCTCACAAAATGGAAATTCTGCAAAAGACCTCACAACAAACATTTCTAGTTTCCATTTTCAGAACTAACTACTGCCTAAACATATCTTAAACACAGAGCACGTTTTGTTGAAACATTTCTCTTAGGACAAAGACAGGAGACACGTTTTAAATAAATTAAAATGGTAACACATAAACTATTCCTAAAACAATCAAGGTACATTACTTTTCAGCTTCTTATAAACAAAGGATTGCACTGACTTTAGAAAATTATAGGTTAGATCTGCTTTGTATCTTTTGGGTTACCAAACTCGTGTTAACTGTACCTTTTAGCTTCTTAACTACTTTTGATGTAAAAAGACCAATATCATTCCTTTCAGTGATTAATCTTTTTAGACCAACTCCTTCCTTAACACATGGGCTAAACTTTTTGAAATTCCTCTCTCCAGATAAAGTTCTGAATTTTAAATAATGCCATCTTGCTCTTCCCCGGCTCACTCCTCAAAATTATAGAAATATGTAAAACAGGTTGTTGAATCACACGTTTTCATATTATTAAGCACCTTGAAATGCTTTTCCAAACCAATGCAACTATACTTAGATTCAACACAAAGATGTTCCTCTTTGATGCAAGACAATTTGGAATTTAAAATCCAACCCCAAAGGACACAAATAATTAGGTGCCCAAGGGAATCCAATTCCCGTCACTGTTACCGATCCCATAATTAAACCTGATATGCTGGAGAAATGGCAGGGCAATCAACATACCTAGCAGGGCAATATTTCCATGAAAACAAGAGTGACAAAGCAGAGGGGCTGAGGTCCCATGGATGCTAATTGATTGATGGGGTAACTGCATTACGGGGGGGGGGGGGGGGGGGAGTTTCAGAGAATCTATCAATAGCTCACCATGATCACAGAAGCAAAACCACTAATGGTACATGCCAGAAACTTGGGACTGATCCCACTCTCCGCACAAAACCAGCAATGGAGTACTTTTATTTACTGCTTCATTGCGGTTTGAATTGGGGAGGGGAGGTAGGATGTTTTGTTCTGGCTCCACCATACTCAAAACCTAAGCTGGAGTAACCAATTTAAAGGCCACAGAAGAGTATTTTTGGGTTTCTGTTTTGTCCCCAGCAAACTATCATTATCTTGGTGATCATGAAAACAGTATGTCACCAAAAAATCCCGTGCTAGAATGCAATGTCCAGTTCGCTAAGGGAGCAGGTGTTTGCCCACCTCACGACTGAGTCTGTCCTCAGGTATGTACAAGAGGTTTCCTACCAACGAAGGGTCGGGGGAAAGGATTAGTTGACTTAAATGTAAATGACCGATTCCAGGATATGTCCTAGCTGGATCACAATTTTTAATTGAATAATTTATAAAATTTTATTTACTCCCTTTACGCAGGCAAGAAAACACACAACGGGAGGGTTTATTTCCTTAAGAAGAGAACAGTAAACTGCAGCGAGTAAAGAAAGGTCTTCTTGGAGTGTATCAGCTTATTAAAAAGCTTCATGAACTTTCAACAAGACTCAAAAATAAATATGCCATGTAGGTTGAGCATATCCAGGTGAAAATAAGATTATCTGACATCTAATGAGAATCACTGGAAATACAAATTCTGTGCAAAGAAGTCATGATCAGGTGGGATGATTTAGACCCTAGAACATTTCAGATCAGAGCCAGTTTCTAGCAGCTTCTGTTCACAGCTCCAGACTGGAGAGCATGGAGTGTGCCGCTTTCCATCTTCTTCCCTGCTTCTCCCAGTGGGGAGGAGACATGCTGCCTCCTCCCCACTGGTCTGGGAAGCATCAGGAAAGCATCTGGAAAGGTCTGGGAAGCGTCAAAGCCAGCGATGAGCAGAGCATGGCGGCCTGCGGGTTAGCCGCCTCCCTCACTCTCTCTACACTAACAGCGGCAGCAACGTCCGCTGCAAGCCCTGGCATATCCAGAGTGCCTCAGAAAGATTCACAGACATGAAGGGTGCCCACCAGGGTCCAGCTTGATCCAAGGGAAGGGGCAGCCAGCCCTCGGCCAAATGAAGCCTGATGCCCACAGGCAATGGGGAATGGTGGCCATTAAAATGTAGAAGCAAAAGGAAGCACACCATTTTCTCTCCCTCTCTTCCCTGGATCTGGAACTCTTTTGTCCCCTGGATTCGATGGCTCACAGTGTTTTTACAGCCAACTTGGCAGAACAAGGGAGGGTCTGACAGTGGAAGGGGACACAGCCATGAGATGGGGGTAGGGCTGGGAGCTCCTTCGTCCCTGAGTCCACAATCTGTACAGCCGGAGATGTCGAGTGATGCCTACTGTTTGAAAAAGCTCGAGTCCAGAATTAGATAGTGGGGAGAGTTGCATAAATTTGTGAATTTACTAAAACCACTGAACTGTAAAGTTAAAAAAAGATGAAGAAGAAAGCTTGAGTTGTCTGAGTCTCACACACACTGGACTTGTACCAAATGCTCGACTATTCCATTCTCTCAAACCACGGCACACTGTCACATTTTTTCAGGAGTTTCCCTAAGAGCAGCTGTTCGCAAAATATTGCACTTAATTTAAATCCAGGCGATTCGATGTTTTCTGGAAGAAAATGTACACTAACATACATCTTTACGCCTTCAGATAACAGAGCGGATGGTGGGAGGAGGGACTGAACAGCAGGTTCCATTAAAACCTTCTATCTTCGTCTTCGTTAGGTGCAGAGAGAAAAAGATTTAAAGGGGAGTCTCATCTGAGAGAAAAAGATTTAAAGGGGAGTGTCATCTGGGCTGAAAGTAGTAAGAAGCATCACCCAAACAGGCAGAAGATGTTAACTTCTGAAGGCTTTCACCTCAGGGGAAGAAGCATGGCCACTCCATTCCCGGGGCACCTCAGTGAGCCCCTAAGAGACCATGGACAACCTTGGTGTAGACACTGGATCTAATTCATCAGACAGCGGCTGGTCTCAGCGGGGGTCCTCAGAAGACCTTCTTGGTCTTCATCTGACTGCCACCCCCCGAGACCACATGCCCTGTTTTCCTCCCGCTTCCAGTGCCCCTACCACAGTGCACTTTCACCTCACACGGTACAATTCTCTCGTCCTTCTTAAAGGGGGAGAAAAAACCCCACAACACGAGCATCACTGGTGTTCACCTGTGTGGTAAGCTTTACAACCCTCCCCAGGCCGATGAGTAAAGTGAACCATACCCCCACAGGGGGTTATCACAATCAAGACTCACCGCAGCGCAAACCTCCGGAGCCTACACTCACGCTCAAGCCGCAGTCTGATGTGGGATTTGGAAGCACTTCTACGTGCTTAAAGGCCAGGCACTCGAGAGCCTTCTACTTAAGATAGAATTGGGCGTGCGGCTTCCTGGGTGTAAGGAGGAGAAAGCCCCACTCTTGGATCTTCCTGTCTTACCATTTAAAGTGCAAGAGAACACCTAAGTTAGACTTTCACGGACAGACAGGTGTGCTGTAAGATTTCCACGTTGGGGCGAGCCCCGCACAATGGACCACTGCGGACAAGGGGAACACCTGGGACCCAGTGTCATCTGGGAACCAACGCAATGGATTACACAGGATCTACTGTACTTCCGTAGGCCACAAACGTTCCCCGTGGCCAACGCTCACACTTTGTCCCCTGCCCAAGTCCTGCCACAGCCTTGCTGCTTATGGGACTTGGGGAAAACACCACCACCAGCGACTATGAAGTTCAATTTTGACAGAAACTTAAGGGAGACAGAGACTTAACACCCCATTTCTTGTGGGTCATTAATCACACCAAATGCTCAAGGACCAGAGGTTTACCATGTTGGGCTAGTCAGGTGGGCAGGAAATCTGGTCTGATTAAGGCAGTGAGCGACGTGGGGCGAGCTTGGCAACAGGTCCACGTTCACCAAGCACAGGGGCTGAGCCGGCGGCGGCTGCGGCGCGAGGAGGCCTGGAGATATTTACAACGCGCGGCCCCAGCTGGTGGGCTCTAGTCAGCACAACGGTTCGCTTTCAGATTTGGTGGTAAGCACAGAGTTTTCCTTAACACAGAAACGTGAGTGAACGTGAAGACGGGCACCGGCGGCTTCATCTGGGTATTATGATCCTTTCTATGGCACACACGATATGGTCCCAGTTTTTACAAAATATCGCGAGAAGAGTCACGGCGAAGAAGGTGCCGAGGATGTGGAAGCGGCTCTTCATCATGGGCGAGACAAATTTGGCAATGGTCGACACGCACACGAGGATGACGGTCATGAAGGCCAGGATCACGTTGATGCACTTTCCCAGGAGGACCTTGGCGTTCACGGTGTCTGTCTGCAGAGCCTGCTGCTCCTGCTGGTGCAGCTCCAGCTTGGAGATACGCGTCTGGCAGGACTCCAGGGCCTCCTGCGGGCAAGAGGGAGAGCGGGGGTCAGACGCCGCTGGGCTCAGGGGCCGCGGGGGAGCGCGTGCGCAAACAAGCACCAAGGCCCCAGCTCAGGCTGCTCGAGGCCAAGGCAGGAGCCAACAGCCAAGCTGGCAGTGAGGATGACGACGGTGATGAGGATGGTGGCAAAGAAGTAAAAGGAGAATCCCCAGGCTCATTTACGCTGTTGTTCTTGACAGAATGAGCATGTGTACACAACCATAAAATACCACAAATGGGGGCTTTACAGCTGAGTATTTTGAGTCTATTTGTATCTGAAATAAAGTACGTAAAATACTAGCATCTGTTGGTCTCCTCGGGGTCAAAGGAGAGGAGCGGTGGGGTTCCGGTTTGGGACAGTGGGCGACCTTCGGCCACAGAGCAGGTGGTAGCTCGGATCACCAGTCCTTATTTCCACGGCTCAGACCGTGGGTGCGGCCGTTTGCAAACTCCAGAGGATGAAGGGAGAAGGGACGAAGACAGGAATGACGGGGGGCATCTCTGCTTTCACCTGCTCTTTGAATGCTATTACTCAGGACACCGTCCAAGGCTACACATTCTCCTAGATCTCATTCTTTCCAACACTTCAATTACGAAGTCACAGCTGAGTCCACGTACCTCTCTGGTTCTTAAGATCGACTCACATATCTACGTACCTCCTTGACAGCTCCATCTGAGACAGTGAACGAGAGAAAGCAAGCACAAGCCGGGGGGAGGAGCAGAGGGAAAGGGAGAAGCAGACTCCCCGCTGGCCAGGGAGCCCAACGTGGGGCTCGTTCCCGGGACCCCAGAATCGTGACCTGAGCCGAAGGCAGACCCTTCACCAACTGAGCCACCCAGGCGCCCTTCTCCATTTGAGCTTCTTAAAATCACCTCAGATGCAGCCTTTGCCAATGTGGCTTCACGTCCCACACCTTCTCCTGTACCTGTTCCCTTTCCGCTCTTCCTTTCCTCAGAAAATAGCACCTGACCTACCCAGTTCCTCCAACCAGACCCGCCTCTCCTCTGATGTGTCACTCAGCCCCACTGACACAATAGCCAGCATCTATCTGCAGGGGTCCGTTTCTCTCACCTCGGTCTCCGTCCCACTCCCTCCTGCCTCACAGAATGCCAGCCCCCTGCCGAGCTCACCATGCTCTGGCCATACAGGCTTTTTCAAGTTCAGAAAAGAACCACGGTTAGGGGCCTCTGGACTGTGCCTGAAATGACTGCCTGCCCGCTCCCTCCCCTCTTCACCTGGATTTCTCTTCCCCTGCCAGCTCCCACCTCCTCCACTGTCCTGTCTGGCCCCAGCAGAGGCTGAAGTCTCCCCCAGCCCTCCCACCCCCGACCTACGGTCCACAGCTCGGGAGGATGGGGACCAGGCCCTGCTGCTGCGCGCCCGCATGGGGTGGCTGTCCCCTGGGGGCGGGCTGCATGCCAGGAAGGGTGCTGGGAGGCCGGAGAGAGAAGAACCTGGCAGCAGCACAGGGAGCCCCGCCGAGCGCTCTGGCCTGCCGTCTGACTCACTTCCCGAGAACTCTTTGCTCAGTTACAACACAGCCGTCTTCTCGGGTTTTAAACAACCATAACAGCTGTGACATGGATTCGCTTTTCTTCTGAGGGACGTGCTCTCTGCGCCAGAGATCAGGGTTCTCTGGCACTATCGTGACTTCCGTTACACGAGTCAGCACAGAGAAGGTGTTCACATTCGAAGCAGCGCTGGCCTCCAGGACAGGCACCTGTCCCGGAAACAACTGCCCCAGCCCAACGTGTCCTCCACTTGAGACACGCCACGGAAAAGGGGACAGCCAAGACAGAAGGTCAGCGTCCTTGGCAAATTCATTTATCTTTAGCTGGGTCCATGAATTACATATATAAATGGACTGATCCGAGAATTGAATGGCCTTGGAACCGTTATCCATTTTTTATCAAAAAAAAAAAAAAAAAAAAAAAAAATCCAAGAAAATTTAGTGAATGGGGAGGAATTTTAGTTACAGCTCCCACTCAGAGCTATTTGGCCCCATGATCTTTAGTACTTTCTTGGATCCAGTATTTAACTTATGGGGATGAGGATGGAGGACAGACCAGATTATCCTTAGGCCTTTTTAAATTGGGAAGTCAAGGGTGATAAAAAGCAAAACTCATTTTCTTAAAATTTGGTGTCCCTGGGGCAACAGTCACCCTGGCCGCACCAGTTGGCCTGCCACGGAGCCCTGCCTGTGAGAACGAAAGAGCCGAGAACTAACGACAGAGCTGAGCAGGCCCGAATGCCAAGAGCCCCGAGGAACACGGCTTCTCACCAGTATAGTAATTATTTTCCGGCTGCCTACTATGCATCAGGCAAAGATTTAAGGGCTTTCTGTGCTATCCTCTCTAGTCCTCCTGACAACCTTTTGAGGGGAAGCTCATTGCTATTTCCATTTTATAGATGAGGAAACTGAGGCAGAGGGAGTCAGCTTGTCCGGGATCACACAGTGTAGAGAGAGGATTCTCCCTCTCTTAACAAAGACGACTGTCCAGTCGCTCACAGATGTCCTCCTTGCACTTTTGAGTTAGAGACGAAAGCCAAAAAATGTTCAAATGAACTCTTCTAAATTGTGATGCTCCCCCTGTGATGTCCCTTTGTCTTACCCATGCATCCCTAAAGGGGGTTCACTTAAAAAAGGAAGAACAACATTAACCCAAACTATCCCCTAAATAAGAAAACCACATGTTTAGATATAATCCAGTGGCATCCCAGGCATGTTCTAAAAACAGAATGTTCTAATAAAACAGACTGCACTGTTCACCTTGCAACACCTGACGTTTAAGTGGGTCAAATTCTTCAAACCAGTCAGTCGTGAGGACAATGTCCTAACCCAGAGCAGGGGCAAAATCCCCCAAGTGTCTCCTCCACCACGGTCCCCAGAGGCCAATGTCCCCTATCAGCTCTGTTGGGCGCTCCAGCTCCCAGAACTGTCCAAGTCGTCGCCTGGGATTGGCACAGACTCACAGCCCACGACACGGAGTAGAACAGAACGTGGGCGGCTGAGACTCCAGCTCACACGCTGCGAGGAAAAAAAAAAAATCTCCCTTCATGTTTCAGTTTTCTCCCTCCTAGAGTGGGGCTGGAAAAAATAACCATGGCCTACAAAGAAAAGTTGTAAAAATGCAGCTGAGCACTACTTGGAGAGTATACTTTTTTGCCTTTTCAATGGGAACGTAAATTGTGGCGGTCACTATGGAAAACAGTATGGAAGTTCCTTTCAAAATTAAAAATAGAACTGCTATACGATTCAGCAATTCTACTTGTTGAGTATATATACCTGAAGGAAATGGAATCAGTTTCTAGAAATCTCCCCACCCCCATGTTCACCGAAAGCATTACTCACAATGGCCAAGACAGGGAAACAACCCCAGAGTCCGTCAACGGATGAATAAAGAAAATGGGATACCCACACACACAACACACAACCGAGTATTACCGGGCCAGGAGAGAGAAGGCAATCCTGTCAGGTGACAACATGGATGGGCCCTGAGGGCAGGATGGTGAGTGCGATGAGTCAGACTGAGGAACACAAGCAGGCTCTGTGAGCTCACTTCTATGTAGCATCTCACAAAACCAAACTCACAGGAACAGACCGGTGGTTGCCACAGCCGGGCGGGGGGTATGGGGGGGAAGGGCAGGGGAAATGGGTGAGAGTGGCAAAAGGGACAAACTCCTAGTTATAAGGTAAGTTAGTCCTGAGGGCGTAATGTGCAGCATGGTGACAAGTTAACCATTCTGTCTTACATATCTGACAGCAGCCAGGAGAGCAGGTCTTGAAAGTTCTCATCACAAGAAAAAAATGAGTTAACTCTGTGAATGATGGACGTTAACCGGACTAACTGTGGTGATCCCTGTCACTATAGATATAATATATACATCAGATCATTATGTTGTACACTTCAATGTGAAGTGATATGTCAATTATATCTCAGTAAAACTGGGAGAAAAGAAAGAGCCCCTCTGGAAGTAGAAAAAAAAAAAAAAAGCATTCCAGAAGCCGAGGGCTGTTTCACTGCAGTGACACCATCACATTAATACTGGAACATGCCTCTGTGCATACTGACGCAGTAAGCCCTTCCTGCCAACCATCCGGATCCCACCATCCCAGCGAGTCCCACCCACATGGACGTTCTTGCACATTCCTTACTCGCCGACTGTTTGCAAGACCTTGGTCCAAGTCACTTAACCTTTCTGCCTTAGTCTCCACATCTGAGGAATGGGGAAAATGGTTGAAATTGCTTTAAAGGGCTGCTGTAAGGAGTGGATGGGGAGGAAAAAGGCATGGAGAGTGTTTTGCTAGCGTGTGGCACACGGGGTGCACTCAAGTCCCTGAACTTCTTACAGCTGTCAAAGCTATTATTCTGCAGAGGAGTAAACAGATTCAAGGCTTGCTCAGGGTTACACAATGGGAAATGCCAGACCTGAGACTGAAATGCATCGCTTGGTCACGGAATGACCGGCCGCCCCACCAGTTCCTTGCCTGTTGGCCGCTGTGGGTCGGAATCCCGTGGCTTTCACCGTCTGTGCCATGTCACCTGGCCCCTGCTCATGTTTCCCTGAGCTGTCTGGCGGTTTACCTAATCTTGACTACCCCCTCCCCCGCTCAGTGAGCGTCTCAAAGGCAAGGTCAGCCTCATGTTTAGAAAGTTGAAGCACTTTTGGTGGTGGGGTTGGGGGAGGAGAAGAGGTTATAGGCGGTGGGCCTGCATAGATGATAAATATTTGTTAACCCAAAAAGGTACACAGAGAATAGCCTGTTTACTCAGTGACATGTGTAACACGAGCTAATGGGGCTAGTAAGGTGGAGGACGTTTGTGGAAAAAACATTTTGCTCTTTGTGGAGAAAACAACACGCCAGAAATGCTTTAGGGCTGAGGGGTAACGCACTCACGGTTTGTTAACTGACTTTGATGCTGGGAGGAGCCCGCAGGAGTGTGTCATGACGAGAGGAACGTACCTGGATGTCCCGTGAGCGCTCATAGGCCTGGTAGGCCACCTTCTCCTCGATGCTGGCCAGCTCCTGCTTCAGGTTGGCAGTCTCATGCTGATGCAGGTCAGTCAGGTCATGGAGCTGGTCTTCCAGGCGCTCGTACCTTTGCAAAGAAAGGAGCTGATTCTGAGTGTGACACCTCACAGGTCTCCTTGTTCTCATTCCCCGGAAGACTATGTTTCTGATAGAATATATCGAGGTGCGCCTGGTGGTTCAGTCCTTAAGCATCTGCTTTTGGCTCAGATCATGATCTCAGGGTCCTGGGATCTAGCTCCACCTTGGGCTCCCTGCTCAGTGAGCCTGCCTCTCCCTCTGCCTGTTGCTCCTCATGCTATGCTCTCTCTCTGTCAAATAAATAAGTAGAATCTTAAAAAAAAAAAAAAAAAAAAAGAAAAAAAAAAAGAATACGTCTAGCTGTGGGGAACATGCTTTTGGAGAACCTGAAGTCCAGCTCTGGAAAGGACTGGTCTCTGCCGTCTTAACTTCTCTGGCCTCAGCTCCTGAGGTGACACGTACACCGAATGCCACATTTCCACCCACACTGGACGAGCACCTTCACGGGCTGTGGTTGGTGACAGAACAGACCTGACGTGTTCACTAGGGCTGCTCAAGAGACCGGGCTGTCTGGCACCCCAGGGTTCCCCCGTCTCCTGCCTGCACAGAGCCTTCTGGTTCACAGGCACGGCTCGCACACGCCAGAGAGCCCACAAAGATAGAACCTACTTCTACGCTAGAGCCAACTCCACCATTTCCCAATGCATCCGCTAATTATGAAAACATGTTTCAGTTCTGGGAACTTAAGTGCCAGTAAAAACTTGAAGCTCATTGCAAATTATAAATGGCTCATCGGGTGGCCTTTCCAAAAGTCCAAATCCTAAGTAACAGAAGAACAAAGATTCCCATTCCCACCTCCCATTTTCCTCATGGAAGAGGGACTGGTCTTATCGAAGTCTGTGTTAGATGCTTATAGAGGTCACCTGACAGAATCATTAAAGGTGAGAGAGAGCAGGAGGGAGGGAGGGAAATTGAGAGGTTATATATCCATTATACCTCAGGAAAAAAAGTAAGACCGAAGAAAAATTAAATGCAGATTTAATGATTATTCTCAGATAGGAGGACTTCACAGGTATCCAATGTTGGCGAAAAAGCCTTTTAAAGATCTCTTACTGCAAGCAATACAGTCAGGGGCTAACTCTTGAACACCACAAACATGACGAGATGGCAAAGGAGAACAAGAACAGTCCTAAATTTATGTAAATGGATATTTGTGATTTGGGATAAAATTTGGATCCAAAGAGTTCTGCATCCCAAACTATTCAGTTGGAATTAAATATTCTCTGGAAAACCTGTGACTCAAAAATAGTTATGCGAAAAAGAAACCAAAGCCAAAGATGTATGCTACCAAGTTTTAAAAAACTGTTTCATAAAGTGTAAGAGCTGAAAAAAGCCACATTTCTAAATTAATAGATTTAAAACCATGTAGGAGATATAAAATGTGTAAGTAAAATTTAAAGTTTAATCTTGTAATATGTAATGAGCATTGAATTTCTTTTAATCTATATTTTTACAAGTTAAATCTTCATTTTGGCCAAAACAAAAACAACAAAAAAAACCATCAAAACTTTCAGGGGCACCTTGTCTGGCTCTGTCAGCAGAATGTGTGACTGTCAGTCTCAGAGTTGTGGGTTCAAGCCTCACACTGGTGGAGAGATAACTTAAAAAAGAAATCAAGTCTTTAAAAAAAAACCCTTGAGGAATCTTTTCACTGGGGAAATGGTGGAAAATCACTTTTATTAATATTTTTATTAGTAAGTTATAATAACATAAAAGCCAGCCTATAAAATACCTTTTAAAATTAGCTAAGGTAATTCAAAGATTTGAATTTATATTCTACTCTTAAGATTTCTTTTGAAAACTCTTCATTTAAGGAGAAAAGTTTAACCAAAGTAAAATACAGTATATAAAGAAATACTCATTACATAAAGACTTTAAGATTAAGGTAGCAAAGAAAATCGACCTTGATGAGCAATGCAGTGGTTTTTTTTCCTTGACGGTTATTACAGAGGAAAAGAAAACAGAGATCTGTGAATTGGTGTAACGAAACCTCTTCACGACAGTCTCCTGAATCAGGGCAGGGTGTGCACGTGCCATAGACCACACGGCGATATTTGAAAAGACTCACACAACTTGCTCTAAAGTGTCAAAGAGTAAGTCACAAGTTATTAAGTTTGGCACCATGAAGCAGGGGGGAAAACTGCTGATTTTCCACGTTTTGGATCCATATCCACACTCGTGGAAAATACAACTCTCAGGACATCCCTGTCACGGAGGCCATCCCGCAAGTCAGGGTAAGTCGGGCTCTCGAAAGAAGGCGGGAGAAGAAGCGGACGTACCTGTACCTCTCCTCTTGCAGGGTCTGAGAAATAAAGCCGTACTCTCTCTTGAACTGCACTTTGAGCGCTTCGATGTCCTCGGCCAGCTGAGCCTGTGTGTCCTTGATCTCCCTCAGTTCCTCCAGGATCACGGTCAGCTTGCCCTGGCTGTCCAGCGCGCCGGCGCCGCTGGCCCCGAAGGACTGGTTCCCGTTGCTGTCGGCGGAGCCCGATGTGCCGCTCGAACACTCGTCGTCGCTGCCGTACTTGGGTTTGTTCACGATGGTGGCGCTGCCCCCGTAGGCCCGGGGACTGCCCTCGGGCCGAAACTCCTCCAAAGAGTTCTTCAAGTGCGCAATGTTGTCGGCGCTGCCGAACTTATTCCGGATCAGGTTGGCGAACTCTCTGGACTTGTTGAAGACGAACACGGGCGGAGTGAGGGACACGCCTGGCATGCCCGACTTCGCGCACTCCGTGCTGTGGGGGGCAGTTCGAGACTTGGCGGTGGCATCTCTCAGAGCGTGGAGGTTGTCTTTGGAAATGTCCTTGGCGCTTCTGGAGCCTCCGTTCTGCTCGAGCTCCCTGAGCTTTCTGTGATACTGCTCTAACTTCTTCTGGAGCTGGGCGATGGAGTGAGCGGATTTCTGATTCTTCTTCTCGAAGACCTGTTTGATGCGGCTGGCCTGCTGCTTGTCTGCGCTGCTGACCAGTTTCAGATACTCGGCGACGTTGCCGTCTCGGGACGTCTGCTCAATTTTTATCTGCTCGGTCACCTTCAGAATTTTTTGTTTCAGGCTGTCTGCACTGAGCTTGACCTTGTGGAAGTCCAGGATGCCATCTGGTACGTCAAAGTTGAGGTTGGTGTCTGACCCCCCTCGGCGAATGCTCAGGGGCAAGCTTAAGGTATTCATGTCATGACGTTCTACCTGCACGAGAGACAGGGAAGAAGCACTTTAAGGTTTGACATCAAAGGCAGAATTCTTGTGACAGAATCTGTGTACATGCAACAGACATACTTCATGTCCCAGATTTTCAAACTGCAAGTATTCGGGGGTACCTGGGGACCTCCACTGGCTGAATGTCAGAAGCTTGGTTTCAGCTCGGTCATGATCTCGGGGTCGTGAGATCAAGCCCCGTGATAGGCTTTGCACTCAGCAGGGAGCCTCTGTGAGACTCTCCTGCTCCCCACTTGTGCACGTGCTCTTCCTCTCTCTCAAATAAATAAATCTTTAAACTACAGGTATTCCTAAGATAAAAACTCCCTACTATCCTCTCCAGTGGAAGAGACGACAGACCAACCCTGTCCTGCATCCACGTATACTAACTAACTATGAGAGGCCGGTCCCACAGGGTGTCTGATGTTTTGTGTCATTAGATGACAACTGCCAGTTGCCAGGGTAGAAAATGCATAATGGCACAAGGTTAACAAGCAGTGCTAGTTTCCCAAAATGCCCGGGTAACTGGGGTGTCTACCACGCCCCGCTCCATGTGAATTGCAGCATGGGGGGCGATTCACCCAATTCAGAACCCGCTCACGTAACAGAAGACGGAGAAAACAGTTCCAGCAGGTACCTTCATCAACACAAGGAATTATCTTTTTTTTTTTTTTTTTAAAGATTTTTTTATTTATTCATTTGACAGATAGAGATCACAAGTAGGTAGAGAGACAGGCAGAGAGAGAGAGGAGGAAGCAGGCTCCCCGCCGAGCAGAGAGCCCTATGCGGGGCTCGATCCCAGGACCCTGGGATCATGACCCGAGCCGAAGGCAGAGGCTTTAACCCACTGAGCCACCCAGGCGCCCCAAGGAATTATCTTCTTAATGGAATCATTAAACAGATGTGATAAGATTAACTTTACTGAGTACTACGACTGTACTTAGAGGTGGAAATGAACAACCCCAAATCATGACTGACGTGATTAAAAAACAAGAACAAGTGGTAATACCAAGGGAAATAGCTTTCTCACTTGGGGGCCATCTGGGAAGAAGTACAAAGGACCACTGAGCATCGTGGCGAGGAGGGTAACTAGTTTCTGCTCCAGAAAGGAAAGGCAAAGGTAAGTCTGGGTGCCAGGTAAAGACGACGTTAAACCCATCTACAGAGGAACTGAGACAGCAAGAGGCAGGATCTGAATACAAGTCACGCTAACTGGGTTCTTGTTCTACACCAGGACACCCTATCAAGGTGTCCCCAAAGGACTAAAGACAAGCCTTTATAGGGTCTGAATGCAATTTCTGAACAAAGACTAGTAACATCTCAGCTGACGCAGCTTACCTTTCAAGTTAACTACCCTTTGATTAAAATGATGCCTTGACACAGAGGAGCCTTGACTCCACTGGCTCAATGGAGACCAAATGGGAGACAATATTCAGCACAAGTCATCTTGTAAATGTTTTAGGGGACAGTAGGCAGAAATAGCAAAATATTAATAAGATATTAACATACTTCCTCCCCTGCCCAAGTGACCCAGACTTGAATGCGTTCATTTCCATCAATGAAGTATTAACACTTTGTCCCACAAAAAATCCTCCCCAGTGCTTTTTCCTAGAGAAAGGAGCCCGATGGCACAGTGGGACACAGTCCCAGGTTGGTGAGTCAGTCCTCCTACACAACTCACAAAAGTTTGTTAACATTATTTCTTGGGCCCTCTTTTCCAACACACAATTTTGCTATGAATGTTTTTTATCTGGCAGAAGAACATCACATAGGAAAGGCTGGAAGGAAATAAATGCCAAATCACTTGTAAAACTAGGAAAACGGATGAAAAAAAAATGGTGACGTCAGCTGGTCGAGATGGAAGGACGGGGGTAGGGAATAAAGAAGGTGTATGACCATCATGTTCAAGTCCTAGAAAGATGGCGATGGGGAGCTCAAGAGAACCAGGTACCTGTGGCTCGCTAGCCACAGAATAGGTTCAAATTACAGTAACACAGAATGCACTGAATCTAGAAAATGATTATTTGTGGCAGACAGGGCAATCCGTGGTAACCGTACAATCATGAGGCTACAAATCTGATTTCACTGGAGATATTCACTGATCTGACTATGCTCATCTAACTTCTCAGAAACTTTCTTTGGCTCCCCAAAGCCTCCCAAATTAAATAATACAATCCAGCCACTATAAGGCCTGGTTTACCTTTCAGGCCTCACCTTACAGCTAATGGATGCCATTCATCTTGATGAGCCATCCAACCCAAAGTTCCCAGAATGCATGTGAATTATCTATGGATTTTCTCATATAAAGGACGCCTACCACCCATCCACTCCTGCTTATCAAAATCTCACATATCCACTTAAAATCTCAAAGATCCACTTAAAATCCTACTACTGCCATGAGCTGTTCCCAGTCCATCAGAAAGTGGCCCATTCTTTCTGCGATCATCCGTGATGCTTTTGTGGAACCACCTGACGTGTCCTTGTGTCCCTGACCCGTGGATTTTATCCCCTACAGAGTACAGGCTCCTTCAGGGGAGAGACGTGTCATACCTACACCTGGTCTGTACTGTTAGCTCTGCCCCTATTCACCACAGGCTGTCAATAATGTTTGCTGAACGCAAATGATATCCTTCTTTATTCTGGGAGAGTCACACTGAAATCACTTAAGATATATTTGAACAGAATCAGGAACATGACCTTGGATGTTCTGCCCATATGGATCTGATCATTTCAGGCAGAGCAGTTTTCCCAACAGCTGGGTAGTAAGTTCTAAATCACTTCAAACGGGTTCAACTAAATGGAGATTTTTCTGAGGATCTGTGTGCAACAAGGTAACACAAATACAAACAAAGACCTTTAAACTTTAACTGAGGTATAATTTTCACACAGAAAAGAACACATTTAAGAACACATAACCAGGATCCAGTAAAACAAAACAAACAAGTGAAAACAAAGGGGTGCCTGGGTGGCTCCATCAGTCGAGCCTCTGACTCTTGGTTTCAGCTCAGGTTATGATCTCAGGGTTGTGAGATCAAGCCCTGAGTCAGACTCTGAGCTGGGCATGGAGCCTGCTTAAGATTTTTCTCTCTCCCTCTCCCTAATTCTCCCTCTCCCTAATTTTCCCTCCCTCCCTCCCTAAAAAACAAACGAACAAAAAAGCCCAATAAAGCAAAACTCAAGCTCCCCATGCCCCCTTCAATCATAAATCCAGAACCCCCATCGCTGGGGGTAACCATGCGTTTCACCTCTAGCAGCACGCCTTAGTTTTGACTAATTATCACTCACTCTTCTTGTCTTTTTTGCTGCACTTTGTTTTTGCCTAAGAACTGTTTTTGCCCTCTGGAGCTCAAAGATCAGATAGAGTGAGTTTAAGAAAAACCACCCAAACCTGCTTGGTACTGAGAAGTCCGCGACGTTGGAAGACACAGAAGTTTCTCTCCTTTACCCTCCCAAAGGCAGTGGTAGGTCCCCGCCTCTTCCTCCTTCAAACCTCCTCCCCAGAGCCGCGGACCTTCCAGCACTGGCGACCCAAGGCGACGGCCTCGTCCCTTGGAGTCAGCTGGGCCAGGACAGCCTCGAACACTCAGGAATGTTCGCACACAGAGAGCTGCCTGACTTTTGGCTCACTTTAAACTCGCAACAATGCTTGGCATGTCCTCGGGAGTCCAGGCTGGGGAAAGCAACAGCATTCAAAGCTCAAATCAATCAATCCTACTGCTCGTCAGCAAATCTCAGTTTAAAATGTTTGACAAGGGTAGAAGGTTGAAACTTTTGCTGGGCCGCACCTTTTTACAGCCTTTTATAGCCCTCACTCTGCAGGGTAATTAAGAGCCAGCTGTACACATCACTACTAGATAGATGCCCATTCGTTCCCTAAACTCAAAGTGAAATTTCATCTCAGGGGAGAAAGCTGTGGGCGTCCTCCGTCCTCCATTTAGTCGGGAGCCAGCCCTGAGGGCCCTCACCGGGCACAGCTGTTTCGGGGCGGGACCCAGGGAGGACAAAGGTTCAGAGCAGACCCGGAGCCGATCTGCACATGAACTGCGCGCATCAGGGGACGCACGGTCCAGTTTGGGCACTGACATTAATTGGTTTTGTGTTCTTAGCTAAATCAAGTCATTCGTAGTCTTCAACCTCCTCATCTATCAAGAGATCAAGCCAGACCCCTCAGAGCTAACATGGCAAAATTCCATGAAATTTAATTCAAGCTATCTTTTCTGTGAGACATTATCAGGAAATAGTCAAGACCCTGAGCTCTGGAGATAAGAGTACTTTGGTTTCAGTCTTGATGTCACTCTTATGAGCTGTGTGACTTTGGAAAAATGACCTCACCTCTCTGTGTCTTAGTTTCCTCTCCTGTCAAATAGAGATAATCCCTCTTCCAAGAGGTGTGAGGAACAAATGGCATAATGCACAGAAAGTACTTAAAGAGTTCCTGGCACAGAGAGTGGTTTCAAAAAAGGCTTGCTATTGTTGTCATTCTGATTTCACTTAAAAATGTACCTGTATGTAAAAATGGAAAGGAAAACAAGCTCCAAACAATGGTTATCTGTGCACAGTGGGGTTAAGAAGAGTCATTCTTTTTAGGATGTTTCCATATTTTCCAACTCAGAAAAAAAAAAAAACACGAATTATCATTTCAGCAGAATAGATGCTATTTTTAAAAAAATGACTGCTAGCCCCTTTCAGTACTCTTGTAATTACTTGGTTATTCTTAAGTTTATGTGAAAGGCAGACCACCAGCATCCCAGTGAAAAGCCATCCCTAATAATGTTTTCCCTCCGGCAGCAGAAACATTTCTCCCGTCACCTCAGTGTTCTGGAACAAAGGCTACAGAAAAGCCTAAGTCCTGGACGAACATCAAAAACGGACAGTGAGTCATCTCTACAACAATCCAAGCTTCCAGCACCATGTAAGTGAGCTCACCTTGCCCACCGGAAGCCAGGCCCAGCTCAGTCCATTACAGCGCTGCTCCAACACACTGGGCAGGC